TATTTCTATTATATATTATTCATAGAAATAAATAAGCATCATGTTTGATTTTTCACATACACTATTTAAAATAAGGTAGATATCCATCTGGCAAGCCTTTGTTGCAGACGTTCAAAATGGAGTTAGAAGTTTGTGCTATCATAGGTGAAATGTTGTAGTTGTGGGTGTGTTCTGTTTGCAAGTGTGTTCATATGTGAAAAATTGTTACATTTTAATCTAGAATAAAAGCGTGCACTTTCCTCTGAGAAGCAAGTACAACAGGCTTACCAAAGTGGCTCCCTTCTTGCAAGAACACTACCAAAGTGGCACGTTTCTTGCAAGAAAATCCTTCTTGTTTACTGTGTAATATATTGCACCATTACCTTCATCAAGCAAATTATTCCATTATTGAGGATGCCACCATGGTGAGTGACCTTGTAAAAATGGAAATAAGTCAGTGTGTTAGTTTCAAATGTGCTAATTCTAATGTCTTAAAGTAGGCAACTGTTTAAGGAAAGTTAACTAACAGGAAAATATCACCTGAACTTGTATATATCCTTAAATTGATAAGTAGATATGGCTTCTGTCATTTCATTTCCTTTCAGATCTGCTGGTTTTGTTGTGGCCTGGGTTTATGCATAATTTTTATCAAGCGGTTTTATTAGTAAATACATGAGAAATCATAAACCGAAAAGCCATATTTAAAACTGTTAATGGCCTTTCTGTCAGACTTCATTTTTCTTAAAGATAACAGCAAAGAATTAAAAATCTGCATGTGGAGTTTTTAAATTGAATAAATCTCAATTATTAAGGCAAGTGCATGCACTGATTAGCTTATTCCAAACTCTCTCCTCAGAACTAGTTTTCCTGTCTTTTAGAAATATTTGGATAATGCAGACAGTTTAAGAATTGAAGAGCTAGAACTGTAGAAACTTTAAGGCTTAAGAATCTAATGTTTTTCTTGGTAGCTTTGGAGTGTAAGTGTCTGGATTGTAGTGGTAAATAATTGTTTGAACAAACATATTAGGCATAAGGAGGAGTGGTTGTTCCTGATTTTGTGTCATTTTCATAATCTAATTCCATGGCTGTCAGATTTAAATATTACATTTTTTTCAACACATTCAGCTGAGAGCTCAGTGATCAGAAATAGTACAAGATGTGGCAGAAATAGCACTGTTTGATTTGTGGTCAAAATAAGAAGCTTTTTTTTCTTTAGCACAGTTCAGTGATTTAATCAAAACAATCCCTATTTTTTACATCAAATTTATATTTTTAAAGTAGTGCTTACAGACAATGGAAAAAAGCCTCATCTTTGTAATTTCAGTTCTGTTTCTACAGTCAATCTAGTGCTGTTGTGAATTTTAGTCCATAGTTCAGAGTCTTGTAATTACTTAAGTACTTCTAGTTTCATATTTAATAAATCTATTTCCTGTTGTTTATTTTTGGTTCCTTGGGCTAGATCCTCAGGTCATGTAGATGAATGTATTTACTGTGTTCAATGAAGCTGTAACTTTTATTTGTGAACACTATGGCTTCTTATATCTGAATGGATGTTGCGTGGTGCCAGCATGTTTCTGTGATAAGCCTGTTGAGCACAAAGACTTGAGGGAGTTCTGACTTCCACCGCCCCCCGCCAATTTACTTCAAAATACTGTGAAGCGTATTTTTTTTTTTTTTATTTTTTTTTTAAGAGCGATGGCCTTCCTGCCTTAGTAACCTTAAAGAAGGGTCTAGTTGCCTTAGCAAGGCAATGGATGAAGTTCATTGTGGTGACCCCAGCCTTTAAAGGAGTCAGCTTACACAGACCAACTCAGCCCATGAAATTGCTGACAAATGCCTGCCACGAGCATGAGGATGGACTTGGATTAGACAACGGAGGGGGTCTTCAGAGTGACACAAGTGCTGATGGAGCGGAGTTTGAATTTGATGCAGGTATTTTTGTGGCATTCTGTCTCCATGAAAATTCATAGGGACAAGTAGCTCCTCTCAAAGCATTTGTAACTTCTTTAGGTTCAATGCTTGAATATGTTATGTTCTTTTTTAGAATCACCAAGCTTCTTCTAGAATCATCTTCATTTTGAAGCTCCTGCTGCCAATTATAATTATAGCATTATAATAATTATTACTTGTTTGGGGAAAAACATAACAGGAGACTTCTCTTTCTTTACATGCTTTGTCTTGTTATTTACTGTACAAAATACATTGACTTAACTATTTGCTAGATTGGAATTAGGATTTTGTTGTGCAGCTTCCGACCTTAGTTAAGAATTGTAACGTGCAACTCTATGAAGTCTCCCAGGAATAGCTTCAAACCTACCTTTTTATTTGTTCTTTGTAAAGACATATTTTTCTCTCTTCCGACCCCCGCCCTTTACTACTTCATATGTGGTAGATTTCTGTTGCCATTGTACATGTTGCTAACTTAACATAAGATACTGATTTAGCTTTGTACTTGATATAGAGCTGACTTAAGTAAGAACCACAGAAAGGTAGGGCATAAATAAATACATGTTGTCGGAGCACTCTTTTTTTGCTGTCTTGAGTTGACTTAGTTATTTTGTATTTGTAGCATCTATGTGCAGTGCTACTGTTCTCAGGAATGAATACAGAGTTCATGTTTTTCTTTCCCTTTTCTCAAGTAACAATTTTGTAACTTGAGGAAAAAAATAATTATAAAAATCAAGAGGAGAATCTGCTTTTAGCTAAAAGCCAGGCAGCAGTGACCAGCTTAGAGAGCAAAACCAAAGATGTTTGTGTGTGAAACTTGTATGTTGGAAGTCTTTGCCCCATCCTCTAAAATATCTGCTTTGGTTAAGCAGAAATAGACTATTAGAACCAATGACATATTTTAATTTTTTTTTTCCCCCTGTGTATATTGGTCTATTTTTCACCAAGAATTTTGGAAGTGGCAATTTTGCTGCCATGTATACGTTTACTTATAGACAGAATTCATGCGAATATACGCCTCTTAATTCAAAAACCGATCAACCATGCCAGAGTCAGCAAAAGAAAGTGAAATTTGACAGCTTTCTTTTGGAGCTGTAGCATGGAGCAGCAGTTCTATGGCATTGGAAGGGCAAAAAAATTTAGGCTTGGATTATGAAACAAAATCCAGTAGACCTGGGTCTGAGGTTTTCTTATTGTCTTAAAATTCCCTAGACAGCTGTGTGTAGGTGTGTGTTAGAATTTGGAAGTTCATGACTGCTTGTAAATAAATGTACCTAGTAATAGATAATGTTGGTTCCCCACATATACACAAATGAGAAAATTTGTTTGCTTGGTTGCAGCTACTGTGAGTGAGCATACCATGCTCTTAGAAGGAACAGCTCATCGCCCTCCGCCTGCTGGTGGCTCTTCTGGGCCTGTAACTGGTGCTGAGATCATGAGGAAATTATCCAAGACTCACACTCACAGTGATTCTGTTCTGAAAATAAAGGTAAGTTTCTAGCGCCATGCACAAGGGGAAAGTGGTTTGTAGCCGGCCTGTTTAGAAGCAGTTCTGTAGGCTGCAGATGAATAAATGCTTGTCTAAAAAGTAACTATTAACTGTAACACATGAAAGGCATGTTCCTTACCTTATAAAACGGATGCTTGATCAGTTGCCTATATTCTACATCTGTTCTTTATTGTTTTTCTTGCCGATTAACTTCAGAGCCACACTTAAAAACAATGTATATGTGTATCATTTAAGGATGTGCATTAACTTCTATGGCTTTTCATCTATTTATGGAAGCAGAAATGAGGATTTAACTATTATTACACAAAATCTAAGATTGACAGAGCTCTCCAATAACTTGTTGTAAAATTAGTGTGTGTTTTTTATTCCACAAGCTGTTCAGAAAACTGTAAGATTTTATTTTGATCTCTACTTTATGAACAGAAAGTGTGTGTGAATGTTTGTGGGATTTGGGGGTTGGGGTTTTTTTGTTTTAAGTAATTTGTTATCTTCTGTGAGTATGTTAGGCAGCTTGGTGGCTTGTACCAATTCCTTTTCAGCTGTGGCTTTTCACAGAATGATCAAGACTGAAAGGGACCTCTGTAGGTCACCTTGTCCAGTGCCCCTGCTCAAGCAGAGCCACCTGGAGCCAGTTGCCCAGGTGCTATCTCCAGATGGCTTTTGAATATCTCCAAGGGTGGAGACTCCATAACCTGTGACAGTGCTCAGTCACCCTCACAATAAAATGATGTCCTGGAGTTTCCTGATGTTCTGGAGGAACTCCTGTGTTTCAGTTTGCACACATTGCCTCTTGTCCTGTCACTGGGCACCACTGAGAATGGCCTGGCTCCGTTGTCTTTGCATCCTTCCTTCGGGATTTACACACATTAGTAAGATTTCCCCCCTTTCACCTTCTCTTCCCTAGGCTGAACAGTTCCACCTCTCTCAACCTTTTCTCATATAAGAGGTGCTCCCGTCCCTTAATCATCTTAGTGACCCTTTGTTGGACTCAGCAATATTTCTCTCTTGTACTGGGGAGCCCATAACTGGACACAGTACTCCAGGTGTGGCCTCACCAGTGCTGAGTAAGGGGGTAGGATCGCCTCCCTCAACTTGCTGGCAACTTACTGCCTAATGCAGCCCAGGCTGGACAGCCCATCACGGGCACGTTGCTGCCTCACATTCAACTTGGTGCCCACAAGAACCCACAGGTCCTTTTCTGCAAAGCTGTTTTCTAGCTGGTCAGACCCCAGTACATACTGGCGCATTTGTCCTCTCTAGCAGATAGTCGCCTGCTACTATCGCTTACTGCTCCCTCCTCGTGGTCTTGCATGGTTTAGGGTTAAGTGGCCCAGCTGCTTTGCTAGAAAGCACATCTGGCTCTTCTGCAATTTTGAGGGCAGAGAACTTCTTTCATAGTTTTAAGCCTTTAGGTGGACCAGGAGCCTTCCTCTTGGTGCCAGAAGTCCCCAGCTTCCATTCTTCACCTTCCCCAGAGGGGTGTACTCATCATTATACTAGAGATGGAAGGGATTTGGTCTTCAGACAAAGGCCAAATACAAATGAGGCTTGTATTCAGTGATATGCACTGTTCCTTCTGCAAACTTGCTTTAGGTGAATTCTACACATCTGCAGTTCCATTTGTTACTTGTTGGGCTCTTTAAACTATTTTTACACATAAAATTATGTTAATACTTGAGAATTCAATAGCACCTTTATGCACAATACCTGTATGGTGTATGACCTGCCCCAAATGAAATGCTACTTGCCCAAAAGTTTGCAGGAATGAGAATTTTGTAGTTACTGTGTTCCGATCTCATATTCAGACCAAATGTCCCTTCCTTTTTGCAGTTTACGCAGTACTTCATTAGTTTGTTTGTTTTTTCCACAAGGGCATACATCCGTACCATTCCTTAAGTTACACTAGTGGAGATACAGCTACAGATTCACCAGTGCACGTTGGCCGTTCTGGAATGGCAGTCAAAGAAAGTCCAAGAAAAGAGAGTCTGCTCAGCTATCTTACTGGGAGTTTTCCTAGCCTGCATAACCTTTTGGAAGGGACTCCTCAAAGAAGTACAACTGCAGTTAAAAGTAGTTCATTAACGAGAACAGGTATGATGTAGCATAAGTAAGCTAAAGGGAGGATTGATTTTATTTTAATGATTTTGAAAAGGTACTATATTTTGACTATGAGTTCTCATTTCTGTTTAAGATCCCACCTCCTCCCTCTGTCCCCCCAAATAAAAATCATGGTTTTTAATAGCAGTTCCTAGACATCACTGCACCATACTATTTCCTAGAAGCAAACAGCAAGTACATGAGGTTGGGAAAAGAAATGACAACTAACAAAATAAATAAATATTTTATTTTTACTTAACCTTGCTACTTTTTGAGTATAATACATAATTACTTAAGTGAGTCTTTTTGAATTAATAAGGAAATGACACGATCATTCTGTATTTGTCATTTTTTTCTTGATCTTGTAAGTAGCTCAAAGTGGGCTAAAACTAATGTTCCAGTACCTTAGTTTGTGTATAATAATTGGCAGGTTTTTAGTAACGGTCTTTTGAACAAATTTTTTTGGTAGAAGTTTGAAATACATATATTGAAATTTTCAAGTTCTATATTATTGTTCAGAGTGTGTTGTTATAATTTATATAAAGAAAACTAGATAAGTCTGATACTGCATTTTCTCTAAAACCTCTCTCCTTTCCTGTCAGGGAATGAAATATTATTCAGAAAAAAAGGTATTTTGGTTTCTTAATGACTCTTTTCCTCTAATTAATGGTAGAGATGAACAAACACAAAGACAGTTGTAGTGCGACATCCATTAGAGTCATAGTATAAGTTCTGTGGTAGCACCTGTAGAGCTGCTTGACACATAATTTACTGGAATAAACCTTGAGGATTAGGCTTACTTTTATAGTGAGTAGGTATTGTCAGTAAAATTATGCTGTGTTCCTAGTTTTTGCTGACTTTGGTACAACAAATGCTAAAGCTTCTGATTTATTTGTATAGGAAATACTGTGGCCACAGACATGTTATCTGAACATCCTTTGCTGTCTGAACCGTCTTCTGTGAGTTTCTATAACTGGATGTCAAATGCTGTGGGCAACAGAGGAAGTGTAGTACAAGAAAGTCCGGCCACCAAATCTGGACACAATAGCCTTCCAACAGGTACTGCTAATTACAGCTGAATTTAAGAGATGATTCTAGGTTGGCTGTTCCTCTGTTTACCACATTCTTTCTGAAAGTAATTGAGAAAGTGACTTAAGTTCAACAGATGTAAATACTACTTGTGGGACTTCTCAGCAAACCGGAAAATGAACAAATGTGATTTAAGCAAAACTATTGTTTTCATTTCCTTCACCCTGCCTCCGAAAATTTAGGTTTTTCTTACATTTGGAACTGTAAATGTAAGTGTGTAACTGCCAAAAGCTAAGCCATAAAATCATCCTCAGTTGCAGAGTTCCTTGGATTCCGTTAGTTATTTTTAACCTAATTTGCATGTGCTGTTTTTGTAGTAAAGATTTTGTACATTGGAATCCTTGCTCTTTCTCAGTTCAATTTTGAGAGTAAACATAAACATCTATTTTGAGAGTAATGGATGGGAAGTGATCAACTGGTGTAAGGGAATGGAGAAAAGAAAATATACATTACTGGAAGTCCCAAGTGTATTAAAGAAACGGATATATAACAACTTATTGCAGCTTATTATTCTTGTAAGCCTGTCATTCATAATTCTCAAATGTGTGTATCTTAATTTTTTTCACTAACACTAGATTTGAATGTTTCTTCTATTAACAGTATTTCAAGTATAATATATTAATCTTGGGCAATAATAGGTTGTTTTAATTTGGTTTTAATATTGAACAAATAATCTGTTGCTATAAAATATCTTCGTGCTGTATGTATTGCTTAACTGGTGTGGCTCCTCCATAAACTGGAATGTGTTTCTCTGCAGAAAGAATCATAGAGGAGAAGTATAACTTTCCATTTTCGCCCCTTAGAAAAAGCTGTATTTTTTTCCTACTCAAACTAAGTTTGTCACAAGCACATGTTCCTGAAATTAAGACTTAGTGGTTTTAACTCGGACACGGATCTATCCAAACCATTTTTCTGTGAAGGTGTGTAGTTGTGGCTCTCTGAAAAGCGCTGTAAGCTTGAGTTTTGAAGAATCAGGATTAATTTACATTAGCAGAGCAACTGCGTCTTAGGGAGGTTGAGTCCAGTGCAGACTCAACATGCAGGTGATTCAGCATCGCTCTGCCCTTGTCCTGTAAGGCTGATTGTGAACAGAGCAACTGCAGGGAAGTGGCTGTCCGTAGGCATTTTTATGAAGAGGATGTTTGGCTAGAGACTAATCTATAGACATCTAATTAGTGGATCTTGCATTGGAACTAATAAAACCCAGAAGCTTATAGCATATTGAAAGCTAAAAGCCAGTATCTGCAGCTGTGGATAATCTTTGTTGATGGTATAGGCTACTCAGCCTATAAACTATTTCAGTTTAAACAGGAGTTAAGTACCCTATAGAATGCAGTGCTGACAAAAGGCCTTGGGAAGGAGGGCAAAAAGAAGGAAATACGTTTGTGCTTTCCAGGTATGAGTTGGACTATCTCTTTTGTCTGTTTCAGCAATATCAGACTCTTTCTTTATTCTGAATGCCACTTTTGTGAAGGTATAGACCTGACTAGGGTTCTGACTTTCTATGTGTATGGCATGTGTTTCTATATGATTAATCTTGCTGAATTAATAGAGTTGGTGGTGTTAGAATTTGCTGTGGTGGTAGTGTTCCATGGGTATTTATTTTTTAGGTGTGGCACCCAATCTTCCTACTATACCCTCTGCTTCAGACTTCAACACGGTTTTGTCTAGTGACCAGAACACCCTGGATGGCACACACTCGCAGCACAGCACCAGTCAGGATGACATTGCAGGTGTAGAAGAGGGTAACCAGGGGTTTCCTGCTGTCCAGCTAGCAGATGCACAGGTAGGTCTGCTTTGCTGATGTATTTTGGAGTTCTAGAGGGAAAAACTAGTTATTACTTTAAAAAAAAAAAAAAGTCGTACAACGATGAAAACATTATCCTTTTTTTGTACGTCTTTCTTATGCATTGCTATGCAAAGATGAAAGGCTCAAGAAACCTCTGAAGTGTCCCATAAACTTTATGAATGGTGATTAATAGAGCATTGTTTTATAACTTCAGAGACTATATTGGAGGATTTATGAGATTAACCTAGTTCTCCAGAGTACTTTTTACTGAGGGGAACATGCAGAAACCTTGCTCCTATAGCTAAGCATTTAATGCTAGCTTGCTGTAGTCAATCTTTTTAATCTCAGAAAGTCCATAAAGCTTCTCATTTTTATCCTTATTCTTTCTGTTTTACAGCACAGTCAATAAAAGTGAAAAGTATTCTGTATTATGTAGCTGACGTTGTAAATATTGCAGATCAACAAATGATGGAGCAAGAATATAGGACTAATCTAGACAATAAGAAGTAAATCAGTGGGTTTTGTTTTGTAGGTTGTTTTCAAACCTCTTCTAAGTTACACGGGAATTCAGTCTCAGGATGCAATGCCACTCTGCTACAGAATGTACTTTGGAGAGTACCTTTCATTCTCGGGAACTTTGGACTGCCTAAGAGCAGATATTGTTGATTCAGATACAGCAAAGGAAAGAAAAAGCAAGCGAGCCCGAAGGTGTGTGCGAGATATTTGAAAATAAGTATATTGATTAAAGAATAGAAATTAGATTTTTCATGCGAAGACATAGAATTCCAAAGCACTTCCATAGAATAAGGAGCAGTCCTTTGTTCTTTCAATCTTACCTGTTTAGTCTTCCTGTTAAAATATATTTTTTTTATCTTCCTATGGAATGCTTTGGAAATTTTAATTATTTGAATCTCAACTACTTTTGAAAATTGGAGGTTGGGGAAAGGAGAGCTGGTAGGAATAATAGTGGGGGAAATTTGAGAATCTCTTCAATGCTGTTTTTTAATAAATCCTGTAAATGAGGTGGTTACTTTTGGTGTA